GACAATAGGCTCAAGAGAGTATTTCAAGTAGAAAGATGTACGAAACATGTAGACTTTCACTATAACCAGAAGCTGACGATTTTGTTGGCCAACACATCAATCATTGTCCAATTCAATCAGACGATTGTTTGCACAGCATGCTGCATCACGCGAGAACAATTTAAACTGCTCTTCATATATAAAGATACAAAACGTCCTTTCACGTATTAAGTTCTTTTCTCACTCTCACATTACTTCTAATTCTCTTACTGAATTGTGTGTTAAAATGTTAATCTTATAGAAGGACTCTACTTTATCACATTAGAAGTATTCCATCACTACAATGAGAGACTAATCCACTACCTCACCTTTTTAGTTCTCAACCAAACAAAAATAATGAAAAATTATCTCATATCCAAAATCTTTTAGACAAAAACAATTTATTTTAACCTTATAATAAGCATGTGCATAGTCTTTCTCCACCAATACTTTTAGAAATGTAACTTTTTACTCAAAATAAACACTCCTTTAAGAAAGATAGGAATAGGTATATGCATGGAAGTAGCCAATGGGTGGAAGATATAGAGATATCAAGAGACCCTTCATTACTTAAGTAACTTTGAGATTATATGACTTTGGTGACATTGAACAACTATTTTAGACTAAAAAAAGACCTTTGAAGCAATTACTCTCTTAATATTTTATATTTCATATGTTATAATGAATGATTTCTTTGTGGTTATCCAAAAGTAGTTTTTCTTTATGATTAAGTTTTATGCTATACTAAAGTTGATTCTTTCTAAAATTTAAAATTATTAAAAATTGTTAATGACGACTATGTTTTTATATAGACCATACGAAACATATGGCTCTATCACATGTACCCTTATTTATTTTATCAAGTAAGCATAATTTATTAATACAAATAACAACAATTTAATTTATAGATCACGCTAAATAGGGTGATTCCACATTTCTAGATCCTGAACATTGAAACTTTCAACATGAAAAAAAGAATCTTATTTTGGTTCAAGAACAGATAGATACACTATATATTTATTATATTTTAATAAAGAAAGTTTGGTCATTTTTGTTATATAGAATTTATATTATATTGTAATTTTTATTCTATTAATATTTATTATTATTTTTAAAAAATTTAATCTTTTTTATCCGTCCTCACTTCTTTCTCTTATATTGATATGATATCAGAGTCAAGTCAAAGACTACAATTAATAATTGTACTAGAACTATGTTTGACGTGAAAGTGAGTATTGAAGTTGTACTAATATTATTGAAGATATTTGTAGTCCGTCGATCTCATCCTTTGAACTAATATATATATATATATATATATATATATATATATATATATATATATATATATATATATATATATATATCTATATATATATATATATATATATATATATATATATATATATATATATATATATATATATATATATATATATATATATATATATATATATATATATATATATATAAAGTAAATTTTTTCACTTCGGTCACAATCGAGGAGAAAAGTTTAACATTCTATGTGGTCAAAAGTGACTTATTCTTTATTTTAAAATAAAATATGAAGGAAGACGCCATTGTAAAATGAAATAAGTCATTAAAAAGAAATAAAACTATAAACTGCAGTTGATAGGATTTAAAGTGTGTTCCTGAGTTAAGTATTAGTTTTTTAACACAACCGAAAAAATATATATTACCTCCGTTCTTTTATATAAGAGACAACTCATTTTTTAGGTTCATTGTATAAGCAATGTATTTGGTCAGTTTATAGACTAGATAAATTGAAAATTCAATTGTCCAAAAAACTGAGTTGTCTTTTATAAAAAAAAACAGAGGTAGTAGTATTTAAAAAAACGTGGAGCGCCAGAAATTAGACATCGATTATTTATTACCTGAGGTGAATATTTTGTCATAAAATATATTAATTTATAGTAGAGCTAGAAAAATTAAAATATAACCATCATTAATATATTAGCATTATAAAAAAAAGTAGCGGTAAATAAATGTTTTCACGTAGTTGAAAAGACAAACCTTTGCTCATAAAAAATATCAACATAATCAAGATGAATCATTAGCATATAAGAAAGTAGATGAGAAATGTGATTTAGACCATATAAGGAAATAAACACATTATAACTTCATGAGATTTTTTATATAGTTAATAAATCTGAAATTGATAAAATCATATAATGGTCTATAAAAATATTTTTAAAAAAACACTCAATCAAGCTCATTAATATGGCAAAACATTAGTTAAAAACATTGGCATACGCAGGAGCCAAAATATTAAAAAAATTCAATGTAAAAAGTAGACATGAAAAATAGTCAACTGAACTAAATTCATTTGGTGAAGGAAATGATGAAAAACACTTAAACCAATGTGATTTTTATGTCAAAATTCGAAAAACACATAATCAAACTCATATAAATGGCAAAACATGAGTTTTTAACATAAACAAACTTATTTAAAAGGAAAAAGAAAAAAAAATCAAGTATTATAAAAATGGTAGTGTTCTTGCATCAAAGGCGAAAAACCATTAGTTATGCCAAAACATCTTGTATCAATAATGAGAACATAACATCAACATATAAGAATGAAGGGGCACCTTGTACAAAAAATGAATTGGGGGAAGGAAGGAACATCTTAGATGAATGTGAGAGTGAAAGAGAGGGATGGGTGAAAAAATCGAAAGTTGTATTAAAGAGGGAGAAAGTGTAAGAAAAGTTTAATCAAATGGTCGGAGAGAATGAGAGTGAGAGAGAAAGAAAGTGGAAACCAATTATTAAAAAAAAAAAAAACAACTTAAAAACTGACGTCTGAACGACTTATCCTAGCATGAAAATATTGGTACATCGTACATTAGTTGATTATCCATTTATCCTTTTTGATAGTGTAAATATTACAAAAGGCATGAACAAATTATATAATCTACATTCATCTAATTTTTTTAAGTCAAAGAAAATATAATAAATAAAAATAAGAACTACAAAAAAAATTGGAGAAACATATAAACCTAATTTAACAACCACATATTAGCCCTAAAAAAGTAATACAACATAGAAAACAAAAGTGGTATGAAAAAGAAACAAATTGGATAGAAACATGTGAAAACCAATGTGAAGCAAATAAATACATGCATAGGACGATCCAACAAACTCAACGCGGAGTCCTAAACCAAATTGCAAAAGAAAAGTATGTAAAAATATGCAAGCATTCAAAACAAACCAGAGACGATTTTGAAAAATCAAACCAATCTTTTATAAAATGGTAAATATTTTGGCCACCAACACGGACAACTACACATACCAACAACTCATGTGAAGTAAATCACAACAATATTAACAGCTTTTCCAAACCTAATTAAACCATATAGCATTGAGCTAGCTCCAAGGCATCCAATCGGACAACAGCAAAACATCACATCAGTGACTAGGTTATAACGACCACATAACCAATAATAGTACCGTGTTAAACCTAAATACAGTAAAAGCTGCAAATCTCAATAGATTTGAAAAGAATCAGAGTTCTAAGTCAAGATTCCACTATCAACATTAGAGAAAAGTAGCTTGAGAAGCATATTCGAAAACCTCAAATCAAAAATCGAAAAACAGATCAAACATTTACAAAGTCATCGCGAACCAACCAGTTGCGCCGAAGAAGCAGAACCGACCACCAGAAGACCGCAACCTGAATTGGAGAGCTTTGCAAAAAGATCTTCTTCTAGAGTTACGAAAAAACATAACGAACCACCTGCAAAACACAGCAAAAACACAAGTTGTGGAACCATGACAACGAAACCACTAGCCAATCCTTAAGGGGTGAATGGTAGAGTGGCTGGAAAGGCGTTGCATGACATCCGTGTAGTTCTACACCATTACAAAAGTGTTTGGATTTGGAAAAGAGGAGGACAAAATAAAAGGTTTGTGGTGGAGAAACAAAAAGAATGGCGGTAGAAACAAATAACTAGCACAAATTTCAAATTTGATACAACTCTATAACTAATACATTCATCTAATTGTATTAGTTATAGAGTTGATTAGATCTTTATCATGTCAAACGTAATGATATTAATATAATTAAAATTATTTGAATGACTTTTGTCTTTTAAATTAATTTTTTAGATAAGTCAAAATCTAATCAAGAAGAATAGTTAGATATATATTTTATAAAATTTTATATCACTCTTCACATTTATCAAGAAAATTTACAATTATTATTTTTATATTATAATACTTATTATATTTTGACTACTCACATTTATTAAATAAATTTACAATTATAATTTGACTATTTCACATATATTAAGGAGAGAAAAAGAATAACACCCTTATAATTTATCTTCCTTTGGACCCACCATCACCCTACACTAAGGTTACATTACAACTTTGAAGCACTCCATCTGCATGGATGTTTCCAATTGGTTTTGTCCTCTTTCTACTTCCTATGCATAAATAACCTCAACCAGTGTTTCCTTCACCCTCTCCCATCACTTTTAGTTTTAATCATATTATTTCAAGGACCAAAATTAAAGACCTATCTTATTCTGATACAAAACTCACACATTTATATTTATTTATATTTAATGTTGATGTCTTAGTCTTGTGTTTGTTATTGATATCTATCTTATAAGCAAATTTATTATACTATAATAACATTTCACACTCACACACACATATGTTATTATTATAATAAAAATATGTGTTGATGTTCCAAAGGCTTTCTTTCTCATAAAGCTGTTGTATTGTGTCATATTCTTATCTTCTTCTCCTATTGGAACTTTTGTTCTTTTCTCTGCATGTGTTTGTTTCTGTGTTCTCTTATGATGCTTTTCTTTCAACTTTCCAATTGCATAACCACTTATCAAACTCACAACTCATACCTACCTTTCTTCTCCTAACAGTTTTCCAAGTGCAAATTATTGTGTGATTTTTGAAGTTTGTTGATCATTGAAATAGTTGGCACAGTACAATACATGTGAGAAATGGAAGCATTGAACCAGAAATCTATTGAGAGAGTGGTTTCTCAAAGAGCACTACAAATGGCAAGTTCATTTTCATGTCAAATTTGTGTTGTTGGACTTCTCTCTGGAGTTTGTTTAACTTCTCTCTTCTTGGCTGCTTTGACTTCTTTTGGTACCTTTCATTTTGGCCCAATTTTGTTTTCTTCTATGTCAATGGATGATAATTCCACTTCTCACACCAATATCAGTAAGTTTATTTCAACCATTTCTTATTTTAATTCTTGTTTTTTCTCTTTTTTTTAAGAAAATTAACTTGGTCTAGTATGAGCTATGAAGCACGGACGCAGATACTTACACGGACAGAGACATATCAAGACCAGTAATAATTTGAAAAAGTGAATAAATTAAACGTAATCACAATGAGACGGACCTTTTGTCAGAGGTCTCCTGCTCATTTTTGTTGTAATCAAAGTTTGGTGTATTCAATGAATTTAACCATGAAGCTAACTTGATGAGAAGGAGTTAATGCTTGTGTGTGAAGCAACTTGTGGATACCATAAGCCGCTTACATAAGCTATTCCATATAGTCTCGCAAGTGCTTATATCAATAGATAAGTTTAAATAAGTCAATTCAAACAGACGAGTGGTAGGGATAGGAAGAAGGACTATATGCAATGTTTTGCATAATTCTATTAGTTTATGATGACATTCTGTAAATAATCACTTATTATTGATCACAATGATGTAGTAATGCAGGAATTAATCTGGTTATATGGCTATATTAATCCAAATTAATGGAGGAACATGATTTGTTTGTTTTCTCAGACATGGTTACAGAATCCAAGTGCAATGTTAAGCATAAGGAAACTAAGAGATTGTTGGATTTGAAGAGCACTGTTGAGAGAGACAACAATGAAAGAATCTCGTCGCTTTATTCAGTTTGGAGCGCAGTGTTGAATGAATCTACAAATGAGGACAATTGGGACTTATGGTCTAGTTTGCCTAAAGCTCCACATTTGGAAAACTGCAAGTTGAAAACGCAACTATATCGCAATTTTGACAACCGTGTAGGAAATGAGACGTTTCCGTTATGGACAAGTTGGAAGGGGTTTTTGCAGAACTTGCCTGTTGTTCCAGATGAGCACATACAAAATCCAAAGCATGATGAGGCCGTATCTGAAGGAGCTTATCCACCGTGGGTGCGATTTTCAACTAACAATCGTGCATAAAGTGTAAGGAATAATATGAATTTTGTTAGAACATAAAAAGGCTTATCAGAACATTTTTTTACAGATTGTTGGATCTGATGAAGATAACTATCCCTTGACTAGAAAAGTGCAGCGCGACATATGGATCCATCAACACCCTTTAAACTGTAACGACCCGAATGTGAAGTTCCTTGTTACTGATTGGGAAAGATTGCCTGGTTTTGGAATTGGGGCTCAGATCGCTTCAATGAGTGGACTTCTTGGTATTGCAATCAATGAAGGAAGAGTCCTGGTAGCCAACCATTACAACAGAGCCGATCACGATGGTTGCAAAGGTATATGATTTTCTGAGAGAAATCATGCCTTTACCAACACAAATCTTCGTATATTACGAATAATGCTGCCAAAGTAAAATAACATTATGCGATGATATGAAAAAGCGAACTCTTGCACGTGCAGGGACTTCCAGGTCTAGTTGGAGTTGTTACTTCTTTCTGGAAACATCCCTTGAATGCCGTCAGCGTGCATTTGAACTTATGAAAAGTGAAGAGGCGCGGAGCAAAGGAGTTGTGACCATAAAAGAAAATTATACGTCAAAGCATATATGGAATGGACCGACTCCTAGGTAAATCTCTCAGAACTGCATTTATGATGATTGCTTCCTTACTGAGATTCTGAATGTACTTACAATTGTTTTGTTCTTCCAATGTTAATATGTACTTCAGAAAATGGGGACTTCCTTGGATTTATTTGCAACCTACAACTTATGTAAATGGGAGTTTGTTGATTTCTCATAGAAAAATGGATAGAAGGTGGTGGAGAGCACAGGTACTTAATTTTGGTTATAGTTTTCATAGGTTATCGCGGAGTTGATGAAAATAAATTGAAAACAATGTATGTACATGTTATTTGTTGTTTTCATATGTTCTTTCAAGCAGTCCCCGGAGTGTTTATCTCAGTATATAAGTCCAATCCAAACAGACCATAATTTTGCTATTATAAATATTGTTTTCAGGCTGTTCGCTACTTCATGAGGTTTCCAACTGAATACACATGCAATTTAATGAATGAGGCCCGTCACGCCGCCTTTGGAAAATTAGCTGCAAAAATGGCTCTTCAAAATCTTGATGCAGACTGGTCCAAGGTGGTGGTTAAATTTTTTACACTCTTTTTCATATAACGAGTATTAAGAGTTAAAAGTATATACTATAAGAAAAACTACCTAATTTTACTGAGGATAGTTGTTCTTATTGTTTGATAAACACAACAGAAGTTAGTATTCATGAAATGTGTATACTTCCCTTTCTTCCTTTGTCTCAGGAAAGCAGTGACAAACCAAGGTCTGAAATTGATGAATATGTATGGTCCAATCACAAGCCTTGGGTCCCTAGGCCTCTTCTAAGCATGCATGTAAGGATGGGAGACAAAGCAGTTGAAATGAAGGTTGTTGAATTTGAAGAATACATGCAGCTTGCTGATCAAATTCGGAGTCACTTTCCAAACCTTAATAGCATTTGGCTTTCTACTGAGATGCAGGTACTAGTTATCTATCCGAATTATCTAAGGTCATGGAATTTGGCATGGCTGCAGTTAAACAATTTGGACTATCGAACCAAGAACAGTCTATTCATCTGATCTAGCTCCGATGATCTGAATCGTTTAACTATGTCACTAATTACTAGTTTGTTATAGAGTCTAATATAGATTCTACTCTTCATTTGATTCAGCAAGTGATTGTCAAAACCAGAGAGTATTCGCATTGGAACTTTTACTATACAAAGGTAGGACGGCAAGCTAGGGCTAATATGTCAATGGCGGATTATGAAGCTAGGCTGGGTAGAGAGACCAGCACTAATTATCCACTAGTTAATTTCTTAATGGCTGCTGATTCAGATTTTTTTGTTGGGGCATTGGGTTCTACTTGGTCCTTCCTTATAGATGGAATGAGAAATACTGGGGGTAAGGTAATGGCTGGATACTTGAGTGTCAACAAGGATAGATTTTGGTAATATCTTGTAAAGTTGATCATTTGTAAATATGACAATAATATGATCGATTACTGGTTTCACCCTTTAATTTTTGCCTTGCTCCTCTGTCTTGGAATTTCATTCATAGGAGGTATCCTTCAAGAATATTGATTGATTTCTTTAGAAAAGAATATATAAAATGTAAAGAAAATTCAATAATCCACTAGGTGAAAAGAAAAACCAACAAAGCAGATTCAAACTATCAAAATGAAAGAGTTACAGTAGTCAACAAATTTTACTATGCCAGTTCAAAAAATAGCCAAAACTTGATCAATGAACAATGAATACAGACCGAGATACTACTCACAAAAATGCAAGATCAATAACCAGATATAGATGCAGATACAAATATTGGTCTCTTCACGAAAATTAGAATGAAACCATAGGCAACTAATTGAAGGCAATACTCCTGCTTCATTTTCACTACATATTACAATACAGCAATTTTCATATGATGACAGCTCTCTTTATGATCCGATCTAACAAACAGGCGAAAAACATAGCGGCGTAAAGGTCTCAGTAAATTTGTGGCAAGTTCATCCAATGTGAAAAGTATAGTCAGCTGTGCAAAAATACTGTTCTTTACACTTTCTCTCTGGCGGCGATTATAAAAAGTAGCCATACAGATATACCACACTATTGGTTTAATTCTCCCACATCATCACTCCCCTGTTGCGCTCCATCCCCTCCTTTAGAGACTGTCTGCTTCTTATTTTTCTTACTTTTGGCTCTTTTTGCCTTCATGCGACGCTTCCTCTCACTTGCATCCACCCATTTGTAGTCTGAAGGAATAACGAAAGGGTCTACTCCATCCTTATATCTGTGACTGAGACTATGACTATCAGAGTCACTAGATAGCACACTGTGATTTCCTTTCATCCACGAAATCCAGGATGACGACCCTTCTGATTCCTTGGATTTGGGATCCTGGAAGTAAGCTGGGCTAGTGGGTGGTGTTGAAAATTCCTCTGGTGTCGTCTGATGTTCCTCAAATTTTGTAAAAGTGATAATAACCCTTATAGTAGGGACTATAGGAATAGCTACCTGCACAGCAGTAGGATAACCAGAGGCATAAGAAACGATGTTGCAACAGACAAAAACTGACCGTGTGTTTTATATAAAAATGGAAGGAAATATATAAACATAGTAACAACATGATCTTTGATTAGTTGTATGAAATATTAATTTGATTATACAATACAATGTCATACAAAAAAGACTAACAGGCATATGCAAATATGTACTATATACATCTGACTTGTTTAAAAGTGTCTCTTAAATGTTCAAAAAAGGATAAGCCGGCGGATTGGAGCATCCTTTCCATAATGCAAGTAGAAGAATTATACATATAATGATTGTCATGTGTATTGATGTCCGCTAGATTTAGAACACCCCGGTCACTTTACTCTTGCAGTGCTAGAGTTTTAATATCTAGGAGCAAATTACATAATGAGGAAAAGATAAGGCACCACTGGAGCCTTGTGCCTTTTTGCACCACTACATTTTAACGACGTTTGGGCAATATATGGAATTTGCTTTGCAATATATTGCTCTGCACAGATGATGAAAAGCTACATATCTTTCGGTTTTAATAATTTAAACTAGAAAAGGGCAACTCCATGTGACCGCCTAATGAATCTGAATATAAGACAGGGACTTGAGAAACTTCTCATTCTTTTAAAACATCTCAACGTAGATGTTCAATCAGGACAAAGATTCCAAGGAAGAACAAAACTATGAACCATAAATAGCTTAACTATTGATGTTAAGAAGCTCGAGTCACATTTTTTACTATAGAACGATAATAGTATCTCCCCATAGAAAACGATCAATATTTGGAACTAGGTCGGTGGAAATCAAAGAAATTTGTAAAAAAAAAGTAGGGTAATACTGCATTATTGAGGAACCCTAGACTGTTTGGTTTGAGAAAACATTTATTCTATTCATTTCATGTTTTCCCCTTATAGTTACAAAAGTGTCACGTTATTTTCATTATGTTCTCTGCTTTCAAATATTTGTAGTTTTCTACATAAATTAGTTATAGAAAAGAACTGTTTCACCTCAGATTTATGTACAATAAGACAATTTGGTAATTAGAAATGAAAACAGATAAAGAAAACAAATAACATTTTCTGAAAGCAAACAGTCCCTTAATTGATGGAAAAATCATCTGATAACCAGAATAATGGACATTGGCAATATGTCGAGAATAAAAGTATGTGTGTATTCATAAACTCATTACCCTTGGGCACAGACAGGGAAATAATAGACTTGTATCTTGTTAGGATATAGAATAAAGGATAATCTAAGTAATTAAGAGTTGTTCGGGAAATTAGTCAGTAGATTAGGTTGTTAGGTTGTTGTTAAGTTCTGCTGTTATTGTGGTTATTTTTAGAAATTCTTTAAATAGCCCTGAAGTGGTAGAGGGGGGAATAGCTTTAAATAAATGAGTTTTATGACTGGTTAATCCAGTGTGAAAGGTGAGTGCTCCTTTGAGAATACTCTGTACTTTTCTTTTCCTATTACAGTAAAATAAAGAACTCTATTATCTCTTTCGCAATATTCATTCTTTAGATTACTCAACATTGTTCTATTCTGGAAAAAATTCTTATTCAAAGAAAGGATCCTAACATATCTAGTCAAATGTATGTAACAAATATATGAACAGAATCACAGCAAACTAGCCTTATCAGCGGCAAATATAAAAAATGAAGCAATAATGTTTATGATAGTATTTGGGTTACCTTGACGGGAAAGGTTCCTTGAGGAAGTTTAGTTGTCAAAAGTTCTCTGAGCCTCCTAATAGCCTTCACCTTGTTTGCTAAGATATCAAGTAACGGAAGAAGCTCGTCTATTTTCAAAGGGAAGTCTTGTGTCAGCCACAAGACAGGTCTTACACCCTTCTTGAACTCGCTCTCACTCTTAGACTCTTTACTTGCTCCTTTCTTCTTTTTCTTTTTCAAGTTTTGATCCTTTCCTTTCTTCGGGTTCTTATCTCCATGATCCTCCTTCTGAAACTCAGGCTGTAGATTTTGTTGATCACTTGATCTCTGGTTGCTACCTTCTTGGCCCATCACTGAAAACTTCTTTGAATCCTCATGTTCATGACCACCATTCTTCAAGCTTTTCTTGTTCCATCCAAACCAGCCTTTCTTCTCTTTAACCACACCATTGCCTTCACAATTCTCATATACATTTTCGCGACCATCAAATCCTTCTCCTCCTCCAGGTTCTTCATCCTGACAAACACCATCAGAATTCCCCATCCTTAACGCTGAATCCAATTGTACTCTTTCCTCCGCAGTCAACACATCATCATACCCCTCTCCATTAGCAAAAACCTCTTCATCATTCAAAGCACCCGGAACCCGCCTCGATTTCACACTGACCATAACATTGAGCATATCATAAACCCTAGCCTTCCAATCTCCAACAATCTCGGTCTTCTCTTGACGCCTCCAATTCAAATTCGGAACAAGCTCCGCCTGAGTAACATCAATACCCGGCCGATACATATTAGTCTGAAACATCATAGAAACCTCCCGAGCAACTTCCGCATCAGTAGGTTGCGCACCCGCTCCTTCCAAAGCATTGGTAACTTCTTTCTCCTTATGAGAAAGAGCAAGCAAAGAACCACGTGGAAGATTAACATTACCATCCTCCGAAGTGTAACCCTCGCCAAGAAACAAAAAACTCTGATCAGCCCGTTGAATACGGAACCCATCAAAACCAGCTAATGTCATATCAGCACGAAGATTAGAACCGCGTTTCCAAATACGGTAAGTATCAGAAGGTGCAATTCTACCTATAAAAGGAATAACAGAACTCTCAAAATGGAAAGAAATCTCCATATAAAAATCACGAATCCGAGAAGCGGAAGCAATAATCCGAGGCAATCTACGGCACCATTTAGCCCAAGCAAGAGGCTGATAATGACGCGCAATAACAAGAGCAATTGATTCCTCTCTATTGCACACCGCTTCTTGTAAAGCACTCCAACCTTGTTCGTTCTGAAGACTCCAATCGGCGCCGGCAGACATTAAAATCTCGGCGGAGATTGGATCCCTAAGACGTACCGCAAGGTGGAGAGGGGTTTCCCTACCGGGGACATCACGGCGATCTATGACGGCTGATACTTTATCGGCTTGAATCTCGGCGGCGAGAGATTCGGACTCGGTGGTGACATCGCCGGGTTTGGGAAGATTAGGGACGGCGGAAACGAGACGGCGGAGTAAAGCGTGGTCGGAGTTGGCAACTGCCACGTGTACAGGACTGTGTGCGTATTTTGATGTATCTTCCATCTGAAGTGAATCTGAAATTGAATTGGTTAGTGCATTTGGTGTTTATAGGGTTTGAAGTGAAACGAAATGGTGGTTAGATAAGGTTGTTTAGTGTTGTAGCGAAGTGGAAGTTTCGGAATTTTGAGGGAAAGAGAGTACGTGAAAATGAAAGGAAATGGGAGAGTGTGGGTGTGTGGTTTTTAGTTTAGGGGTGAATTGAGGGGAGATTGGATCTGAGAGAGAGTGAATGAGTGGTGAGAGAAGGGAAGAAATGAAAAGCACATGAAGGTAGCAGCGGAGTGACAGACGGGTCAGAAATGGCGTCGTCGTCTCGTCAGTCTGTCACCTTCTCGTTCTAGGAATTGGATTTGGTGCATTTATTTACTCTTTTGCATTTCAACACACTCATCTCAAATGAATACTTGGTATCGTTTACATTATATTTTGCCACTATTATATAATTATAAATAAATATCTTATCTAAAATTAAAATATTTTACTCAAATAACCCTATTTTACTCAAATAATAATATTTCTCCGAGGCTTGGCGGAGTAGGTGTAAGGGAAACTCTTAAGTATCATTGACAATCTCTCTATTTTTAGTATGGAAGTAGGTGTAAGAGAAATCTTTAAATATCATTGATTGATCTCTCTATTTTTAGTATGGTGTAAAGTAAAATTCAATCACTTGGGAACCGTTTATTTTAGAAGTAATGAGGAACATGTGCATTTAATGCAGTTTCATCTGTGAGACGCTTTGTCATTCATTCCTAACACGTGCGATGACGTGGTTAATTAGGGTGTGGCGATGTTCATAAAGTGCTTAAGTGCAGTTTAGTTTAGCTTGTTTTCATGAGTGGAATTATAGTCATTGATTTTATGATCTATGTTCCTATTCGATCTTTATCATTTAGTTGTTATTGCTCATAAAGAGGGTGAGTTGAATATTTGAAAATTTTTGCAACCTTTTTGTTTTTCAAGCTTTCAGATACTTTTTTTGAGAAACCTTTGTCTCTTCTTTTTTCCCTGAAAACATCACCAGAAGTGATTCAAAGTTTCATTTAAAGTTTTTGTCTTTTATTCTTCTTCAGTTTCATCAATCTTTCATACCAGGTACTCTTCTAACTCAAACTTTATTTTTAGCATTTCTTATTTTACGTCAGGGTGAGTGATAATACCGTTGATTTAATGAGTGACTATAAAGTTAACTATGCAAGGGGAAGATATTAACAACCATCATGTTCGTTGTATCTAACAGTGACCTCTTATTTAGATTTGCGATAGAATGTTAACTTATGTTAATTGTTTTCTTCGACTTATTGAGCAAGAAAAAGGAAAGGAAAAATTTAGGGTTTTTTTGACATTAATGTGCATGACAAGATTTCTAAATCTTGCTCTTACGCATCTACAAGTGTTATGAATAACTCAAGGCTACGTAGTTCTATTTACAAAGAACTACTGGGTTGATTGATTTTAAGGAGTGATCTTTTATACATATCAAGTGATTAAACTGTTACTTGTATCTCGCTCTTTGGAGGCATAAGTTTTTGTTTGTTTCACATCGATATGGATAGAGCGTATTCGTTTCTAAAAAGTTTTTGAAGTTGCACAAGGGAGGAAAACAAGTTTGATTGGTTAAGTTGTTATTAGGTGGAAACAGGCATCCAGACAGGGAGCTCTACAACAGTATTCAAATGCCCGGAAAGGAAGAGGCCTAAGCCTAATCACTCTCTTTTCATCCAAGAGTTATTATGAAGATGTATGGTGAATTAAGTGTAAGTTCATTAAAAAAATATAATTATTCACACAGGGAGCTTTACAACGGTGCCTAAATAATCGGGAAGGAGAAGGTCGATATCCAATCAATATTTTTTCTTCTATAAGAGAACTATTAATTCGGTATTGTATTTTAATAAGGAAGACGAATGTTCGAACATGAAGCTCTACAGTAGTATCCAAACATTCGAGAAAGAGAAAGTCTAAACCTAATTTTTCCATTCCATTTTTACTGCAAAAAGCTTAAAAAGGAACAACTTGACATTAGATCAAGTGTTTAATCATGAAAAGAGTTTGGATTAATTGGAAGAGGTACATGACATTGGATCAAGCACTCGCGTTGCATCCAATTTGAATTTGATTTGAGAAAAAGGCTCGACATTGGGATGTAATAAAGTGATTAACAATACAAACTCAATAAACAACTGTAAACATATAAGGAACTCAATGTATAAATGCACAAGAGAAAGACAAGAGATTATAAATAAACCGATAATTAAACTAATGAATTTAGTGTTATGTTAAACTAACTTAACGTGAATTAATGTAGGAATCACTCTATAAGAAGTCGGTCAACAAAATCTATATGTCTAAGCGGTTTCTCAAAGCTAAATTGAATTTAAGCTTCGAAATCGCAACACACTTGAAAAGTCCAGCAACTCGATAAATTAAGCAAATTATTTATAAAGGTAAAATAAACTGAAAATTAAACTAATAAATTTAGTGCTATGTTAAGCTAACTTAAAGTGAATTCATGTAGAAATCACTCTATAAGAAGTCGGTCAATAAAATCTATGCATCTAAGCAGTTTCTGAAAGCTAAATTGAATTTAAGCTTCGAAATCGCAACGCACTTGGAAAGTCCAACAACTCAATAACTTAAACAAATTATTTACAAAGGTAAATAAATTCGAAAATTAAACTAATGAATTTAGCGTTATGTTAAGCTAATTTAAAATGAATTCATGTAAGAATCACTCTATAAGAATCTGATCAACAAAATCTATGCGTCTAAGCGATTTCAAAAGCTAAATTAAATTTAAAACTCTAAAATTGCGATGCACTGTAACCGATCAAATAATTAATTAAATATTATATTTATCAATTACAATATTTAATCAGTTAAATTAAAGAATTAATCAATTAAAATATTAATTATAAATATTTATTTAAATAAAATCAAGAAAAAAATAAATAAAACAAGCTAGAATAATATAAATTAGTGTGGTGTGCAAAAATTAAATGGGGTGAAACCCAATTCAAAATCATTTACGTAAGTAATCTATAATCTATAACAATATATAAAGGGGATACAAGTTTTTGGTGTGGCTTATTTTTGTTCAAAAATTACCCTTATTTAATTGTAATATTTCCATAATTATCTATGCAGTTTGTTTTAATTACAACCATGTACGAGCAAGAATCTCAACCGCTCAACCAAAACGAAAACCGCCGTATACAGACATTTAAGTGTGAAACAACTGCTCTTCATTTCAATAGCAAAGCAAAAGTAATTACAAAACTTGGTAGAGAATCCTGAATAACAATGGAGTAGACTCTTATCGTTTTTTTTTTCTTTTTTTCTTACCTACATATTATCCTTTTCTTTCTCCATCCCTCTAATCTATTTTTTCATGTTTTCACTTTTTAATTTTCTTTTAGATATGTTCTTAAACATGATAAGGTCAAAATATATAAATCATTTAATATTATCACTTTTGTATATGTTCATGTATGTTTTATTGGTTTATTCAATTTAGTTTAATTTTGTTTTGTTCTAATGTGTAGCTTTTGATTTTAGTGTCTGAGTAAAAATACATTGCTCTAATTTTACCGATTTTGATGAGATTGTCATTTTTCTGTGACTAATAATTTAAGAATCATATATATTTTCATCATTTTAGTGTTAATTTAGGAATCATATATATTTTCACCATTTTAGTGTTAATTTAATAATCATACATATATTTTCACCATTTTCACAATTACTCAGTTTCTTTCTTGGTCAATCTCTACATTTTCTCCTTCTGCATTTTTCTTTCAGTTTTCACAATTACTCAGTGTCAATCTCTGTTATGGTTAGTTTTATGCATTTTCATTTTGTAGGATAAGCGGATAATGTCACAATAAAACCATGACAAAGATCAAAAAGGTTGATGATTAATTTGTGGACATGAGTGAAGTTAATATTTGTTTGGGTGAATATGGTAATATATTTTGATATGTTAGCATGCATTAAATAGTATTAGAATTGACCATTAAAATCTTTTTATGAAATTGAATGCATTTTTCTAATTTTTTTTTAAAATTTCCCTTACAAATTGTAACTGCTTCTAACATTATTAACTGTTGAAACTTAAACTGCATAACTCTACCATTTCAGATGCACGACATTTGTTTTCATGTCTTTCATTTCCAAACCCATGATAATAGTAACTTAATGTCACTGTAAATCATTTTTGGATGTTTGGATGCTATATATTTTTTTTTAATTTCACATCAACTGAAGGCATACATTATATATTATGCATTGTTCAAATTATTTGTGCTTTCCTTCTCCACACATGTAAGTCATGTTTGTTTATCTATAGATTAGGTGTGGTCTGTGTCAATTTGGATGCTATATTCGCCAAAGTATGATATGAGAACTAACCATTTACATTGATGTCTATGAGGTGAATTAAATTTAATTGAATTGCGTTGCAGAAAATAGTTTTGATTTGATATTACATGAAGTGATTGAAGAAGAAAATTTATGAGAAATCATCTTCTGATGATATATCGGTTTTCGATGAATTATTTTTGCAATGATAGTTCATGGATACCCAATTTAACCACAATACCACTGGGAAAATGTAAAAAAAATATAATATAGAGATAATTGATTATATTTGTTGCATTGAATTATGTATCTACAATATACACAAAATGAAAGGAGTTGTATTATGTCTTCTCATACAGTTTTCCTTTTAATTATAGGGATTGCTACAACTATTTATTAAAATAAGACATAATTTACCAATATCGAAGGTTACGAGGGAAAAAAAAGTATGTTTTTGTTATCCTTAATGGTATTTATTAAGAAAAAAGGTAAGTTTTTGCTTGCTACCCTTAACAATAGTAGTTATTACATAAGACCCTCACTATTTTTTCCTACAAGTACAAGTAGTAGTTGCTGTTGGAAATTCACCTCACACCCTATGAAGAATTCCCTTCAATCTTGATCTCAAGATTGATGAACAAACC